CCAGCGTTCACCAAGTAGTTGTATCAATCGAACAGATTTTCCAGAACTGCTAAGATCTTGATGGTTCTTTACCGCTTTGACCATTCCAATTGCACCGATCCAGTTTGTCTTTGGGTCTCTGTTTGTGCGTGAAAGGTATATTCTCGTCTGGAATTATTTCTTCCTTCTTCCGCTCCTTCTACCTTGTTCATGAGGCTCTCCAGTTTTCACCATACTCTCTACTTCCTTGGTTTTTTTTTTGAAGATTTTCGTTAGACCCATCTGTTGCTGTCGACAATGCCGCCAACGAACCTACCGAATTACAATCGCATGAAATTTCTTATCAAACCAGTTACGTGCCAATCTTTACGCATTGACTTCTCATCGCATCGAGAGTTTGCGTATTGAAGAAAACGCGGCAGCTAACGGGGTTCGACCGTAATGAAAAAACGACGACTGTCGCCAACCGGAATACTATACCATTAGTTCATATGCTGTACGTTCAATGTCGAAGTATATGCTTGTGAATTCGTCCAGGAAAACCCCTCCCACATTCCATTCCTGAAGGGAGTACTCCCATGTATTCGCCGGCTAACTGGGCATTCCAACATTGAGGCACTCTCTCGTCATATTACCTGCCTGACGGTTGCGCGTGCAACCTATTCAGTTGGTGTCAACGGTTCGTAATCTGCTCTTTCGTCTGTAATATCCGCGCTGCAAGCAAACAAAAGGCCACTTCGAAATGCAAATCGAATTCAAATAGTATAACACACACACCCATATATGGCCCAACTGAAAGTCGCTCCCATGCACTCTACCCACAAGGAATGCGGGATAGGTAGGTGGCCGCCGCCGTTGGTGCAGCCTGGCACCTGGAAGATCAGACTTCGTAAGCACCTCCTCCAACTCATTTCGAAACTCTTCGTCTGCACCACAATTGCACTGATAAACGATATTGTCTCTCACCGCGGGTGATCGTGTATTTCGTACGCCGCCTCATGTCTCGCCCGATTATGGCCCATCTATCATATCTACCGTAGTGAGGAAGGAGTTGTCGTCTCATATAGGCGCTCTACGCAATGTGACACCCGCCTTCCAACGCCATCCGTCATCATATCACTAATCCAAATCACCGCGCCATCGCCACCGCCTTCATTTTGCCATGATCGTTCATTGTCTTCAGGCATACCTCCCTCCTCCTCATCGCTTCGTTGATTAGAGGGGTGTGGACAGCATTTTCTCGCTGCTATCACCGACCGGACGGACGAACGCTGTCAGTTCACCTTGAAAATGACCGCCACCGTTTTGCGTGCTGTTATTTCGACCTTAGTTTCACAATCACCTTGATAGGTGTGATAGGCTGTCAGCGCCAACGAATTCGAAAACAATTACCTCACCCCCGCCTGAGTTATTTCTCCCATGAGACAAACGGACGACCCAGGGAGCTCAAGACAAAGCAGTAAACTGGCAAACTAGTTCCAGATGAAGCCAACATTGATTAAAATTCTGAAAAAATCGGCGAAAAACTTTCAGCACTGTGACTGCGCCAGGTGATTATGGGGTACAGAGTTTTTCTACTTCATTCTGATTGTTCCACCAAGTTTCTATTACCCTGCTTTTCAATTATTACCTTTTCTCGGGTATCGTTTACCGGTCAAAAAGTGGTGCCGAGAAGATCGTTAGGAAATTTGTAGAAGTGAGTGTTTCAGTGAGACGGAATCCTTAGCCAACTTGCTCGCTCCCACATTCGTTCTACCGAATCGCCTGGTTCTCTTCCCACTGAACTTGTCCAATTTGGCCCTCACTCGGGTCCTCTTGCGGAAGAGGTGGAGATTCCGCAGAGATGAGGTTCATGCTCTATTACCGTAATTTGTCATATCAAGTGATTGAGGTAAAGATACGATCGAATCCACGGTCAGCGCACGCGTCCACTGACCCAGGATGGCTTTCTTTATCTGATCGAGGTAACGATACCTCCATTGGGCGTTTCCTGTTCCTTCATTCCGGGTTTTTAGGAGCTGGCTGTCGCCATTCCTTCCATCTCGATGGGTTTTTCTCTTCTTTCGAGACATTGTTGCGAGATGGCATTTTCAGAGTGACTTCTCCGTTGAATTGTTGCCCATCCCGGAGCAATGAATTCTAACCCCTTCCCATCCCCCAGAAGAAGCTTTCCAATTCAAATAAACTTTCGATGTAGCCAGGGTGAGGGTGATGGTTTGCGCTATCAGCAGCAGCCAGAAAGGGAGTATTGAATATCAGGGACCACTTTATTGTAGCCATAAGGACTTAGTTCCTCTCCAACCTATTTCATTCTTTGCCAATCACTCACTAGCCATTCAAGGAGTTCTTGTTTTGCTTTCAAGGCCGGATCCGGCAGCTGCCATCCGTTGACGAGGCCGTTAACGTTCAATTGATAGAGATAATCATCAGAGGTCGTTATCACCTATCATACAATCACCTCTTTTCAAGTTTTCAACAGTTTTTTTTTGTGTCCCCTTCATCATTTTCGTAAGTGGGTCCGGTTCTTTTCGAAGAGAAAATTGCGAAATCACTACGAATCCATTGAGGTGATTAACAAACACCTCATCCCATTGGTAAATTGTCGGGTTTCGGATGAGGAAGAGAAAGAATCTGAAGAATCCATTGTGGCTACCTAACTGGATGAGACGGACACTCCATTTACTGACTTTAACACCCGATTTCGTTGACTGCGAACAATAGAAGACCGGTCACTGTCCACTGACTAATCAATCGGATCAGATTTCTTCGGTTTTGTGGCGCGTCGTGTCTTCATTTACACCTTTCCGAAAGTTCTAACCTATTTTGGGTTAACTAGTCTTTATTTGTAGTTTTTCAGTGAGTTTTCAGTGAGAACTTCTCGATTGTTTGTTTTGATTTTTCGTATTATTCATATGATACCACCTACCTCTTTCTTTTCGATGATTGCGTATCGAACTCGGCTTGATCGTGAATCATCACGACCCTACGCCTTCCGTGGACGTAGACTTACGAATTTCAGGAGGAGATGCGGCATCGGCGGCTTCTTCTATTTCTCGTCTTACTGCATTCTGTTAGGCATTCTACTTCACAACGACCTAGCGAAGATATATTCCGTAATTTATTTCCAATTCAACCACCCCATTGCTCGAAAACACCAATCGTCATTGCACAAGCGTCTACCAGTAAGTAATTTTTCTTCTTTTTCTAATTATCAATCCAGTTCCACTGCAGCAAATTATTGCGAATATGATCTCAAATTATTATCGATAATTCTACTTTTTTACTTCTTCTGCGAATTGTAGTCATCAATGTTGCTCAACCGTTGAGACGGACGCTCATCGCTAATGAAAAGTGAATTGAATGCCTATGTTCATACTCCGAATCATTTGCACTGAAAATATGTCGCCTGAAAGCAGTTTTTTTTGCAAAAGTACGGGGTTTTCATGACCTCATGTGAATTCAGACTTGATCCTAACTGTATAGGAAATAGTTTACATATACATCACAGAACAAATGGAGAACAGTTCTCTCTACGGCTTTGTCAAGGGGAGAAAGTTTGTTAGGGTCAAAGAGTAAGCGCCTAACTAAGTCGGGATGCACCTGAATACCCTTTCACTCGAGAACATTCCTATTTCGAATATAACCATTGAATGCTCCCGAAGATTCGAACGAAACTTCCCATACATTGTAGGGCTTACAGCCAAAAGAAGAGCATTTTGCTTTATCTCTAGCGTCGGCTCTGAATTTTGAGGTTCCAAGGTCGATAGGGTCCAATTAATTCCAAAGGTGCAGTTCATGGTGTGGTCGGTATCGAAAAGGCACCTCCTATAACTGTTGAATGGAGAATTTTGTCAAAAATAGTTTTCTTTTCAACAAATTTCAGTTTGAAAGTACCGAATGTCACTGAAAGGGTACGGTAGTCTATACATATCAATGAGTACTATCTAGCCTACCACTTTATTGTGGCGTAATAAAAACTAATTACCTTATTTACTGAAACGTCATGTCTTTTATGTAGTGCTGCTAATTTGGATTCATTGGGTTGGTTAAGATCAGTCTCAACCTTGCAATGGAAGAGGCTGATTTTATGAAGCTCAGCAATCGGTTCTGACTAATTTGACGGAGCGGAAATCAAAGCAATGACTCACATCGACGATTGCNGTCAGTTTCATCGACGAAGTCGTTCTGCAAGCACTACACTAAATCTCAGAAAAATCTCAAGTTTTTTTTTCATTCCCATTCACTTTCAAGTTACAGTTCTGAGAAAGTCAGCTACTTTAGTTCATTTCAACTGTCCTATGTATTTTTCCTAAATTTCTACCATTTTAATGATCTCATCCCGTTTTGTATTCCTTTAGTTCGCAAGACAGAATCAGAAAGTGGCAAAGAAATGCTGGACTCATCTTAGTGTCCCAGATCACCTGCTGAGCCAATGTATGTAGCAACAAACAGTTCTTTCAGAATTTTCAGGTGCAAATGAAGCTGTCACTCGAAGTGGAATGCAAATGCAGTTCTACCTCGGGCTACATACGACCGTCTGCTTTCGACTTGAAGAGGGCGTCGCAGTAGCCTCGAACCATACCGATCACCTCTTCCAGTCACAGTCACAACGTCCATCCTCTTGGCTTCATACCGTTCGACTTGATAGACTGGAGCATCATCATCCGGTAAGTCTATTGCCCATTAGCTCTTCTAATAGCTGCTTTATCTGGCACTAGTGCAAGACACCAGTAGTAGTAAAAAGTAATGAGCATTCCAGGTAACCCAACGGTACCAGTTTGGCATACCAGAGGTGAGAGCTGATTGCATCTGTGAATGCAATGCCGCTTCTGAAAGCTGTACTGCGGAGTCACACCAGTACACCCAATGTCCTGAAGATCCGAATCGCGATTTTGTGAGTTAGCTACTTCATTCTTGGCTTATCCCTCCTTATTTAAATTGTTCAGCTCACTTCATGCTACCGTACGTTCCTTCCCAATCAGTCGCCAGTAGGATGTCCTGCCGGCAGCAATGCCAAACTATGTTGCGACGTCAAATTCAGGCCATACCGGTAGGTTCCATTTGATCTTTGGAAGTAAACAAATATATAAATATTATTTGAAGTTTTGGTGTCCTGACTGATGTCGAATTGTCAAACATTGCTCAAAAAAAGTGTCAAAGTGTGATGCGAACCACAGTCAGGGGCGTAGGAGC